TCGTTTTTGTGGACCATGTTTTTGGTTCGGGGAACTCTGATGAAGAACAGGGTAACCAAGAGAATGGACTGCAATGAAGACTGCGGACTGCTTGTTGTTGTGATGTCATGCTTTTGTTGCAGTGCCGTTCCGCAGAAGATTATGTTCGACAGGATTTCTGCACAGCTTTTCTGGGCTTTGGCCCGGAGAAACAGAGACTACTTCAGGAGTAGAGCCCGGCGTGATGATTCTGCCTATGGCTCCCTGAAGTATCGCTCCCGTTCCGGAATCGTACCAATGCGCATAGTCCTTATCTGCTCCTCAGACGAAAACGCTCTAAGGCTGGCCCAGCCCCTAGCCTAAGGCTCCATGTGCCAAGACAATTTAGGATTTGGGGTTTAGGGTTTAGGGTTTGGGGTTTAGGGTTTATAGGGTTTTGGGCTTCGGGACAAACAGTGGCCACAACATTGGCGATAAAGCTACCTACACCCTTACCTCAGTATCTGTGATCGGTCTTCTTGGTCTCTTTTTGGCAGAACCCTAACCGAACACAGGACATCCGAAATTATGATCCATTCTACTCGTAGGGCTCAGGTGTTTTATAGAAGCCTCCTGAAGATACTACATATGGACCCGGCTCCCCTAAACTCTCAACCCTACAGGATCGCTCGGATGTGGCGGAACTCCTGCTGCAAGCGACCCGGCACGCCGGAAAGGATGCGATGGCTCTCGGGAAAGCCGCTCAGGAGAAGCCCTGCACCCCTAAAACCCTCAATTTCAGGCTGGAAAGTCGGGCTTGCGGGCCGAACGCTTTCTCCCACCTGAACCTACCAAAACTTGCTTCTTGTACTGTCTCCATAGATTGCATACCGGGGTGCGTAAGAAGAACCTACAAAAAAGTTGTTGATATAAGAGTCTAAATAATTGCCAACACTATTGTAGGGGCTCCTTACTATAACTAAAAGTATAGTAGAATGGGCCCCAAAATTATAATATCTGGTCTAATTGTTATTATACGGCCCCTGTAGTAGACCCTAAACCCTGAACCCTCAACCCCAAAACCTTATCTAAGTATTGATGCCCTTATCGTAGAGCCTAAACCCTAAACCTTATTCTAAGTATGAAGGCCCCTATGGTAGTTTAAGCTAGTGCTGTCAAGCACAGATCCTCATCCCGAAACCGTAGACCCCGGATCCGACAAAACCTGAGCCTGAAGAGCTGAAATCCTTACGGTATGTGGTTTAGGGTTTCAAGGCTTAAGGGTTTAGGGATTTAGGATTTTAGCGTTTGGGGTGTAGTATTCAGGGTTTAGGGGTTTTTAGGGGTTTTAGGGGTTTAGGGGTTTGGGTTTCGGGGTTTAGGGTTTAAAGACTGTGGCCCAAGCTGCTTCATGCTTTTGAGCGATTCGTGCCTTTACTTGGCCAGGAACTCCGCCGCAGCCCTGCTGCAGCAACCCAGGTTTTCAAGAAATTAGCGGCCCGCCACAAGCTTCTCTGCAGCAGAATTGCAAGCATAAGGCTACACACACACACAAAGACTCTCCCTCTCTCGCTCTCTCGCTCTCTCTCTCTCTCTTTCTCTCTCTCTCTCTCTCTCTTTCTTTGTCGAAAAGCCTGTTTTTTGTTATTCATATGTAGTTCTTCATAAGATTATATATGTGTGTGTGTGTGTGCGCGTGTGGATTTTTCAATCGCTCTAGATATATGGGGGCAGGGGAGCTTAATAAACGGGGCCTATTATCCGGTATACTTAGGTTGCAAGGATTCTTCAAAGGCATATTGGAGCTTGGCAGCTTTATGCATAAGATGCCAGAAAGCATCAACAACCCTAAACCCCAAACCCTACACTCCAAAACCCCCAAAAGCCCTAAACCCTGCACCCCAAAAAGCCCTAAGCCCTAAACCCTGTAGTACCCTTAAAGGAAGCCTTAAAGGAACCCCCAAACCCTGTGTACGACTCCGGGGCCTGCTTAGTGCAGGTTGCCTAGGCCTGGAAGTTTAGGGTTTAGGGTTCAGGGTTTAGGGTTCGGGGTTTAGGGTTTAGAGTTTAGGGCTTAGGGTTTCTAGGATCCTACAAAGGAAAACAGCTGGAACTACAACTCCAGGTCAAGTCTAGGCAGGGTGCGGTAGCAAATTTGATACTGTCCCCCGCTCTGTAACGGTTGAATACTGGTACAATACCCCTAAACCCTACATATATATGTATATATGTATGTATATATATATATATAAGGCCCTCAATGGCCCTATTATGGACTGTTACTGTATGGAAAAGGTACCCAAAGTAGGAAGTTCGACCCAGATCTCCTCTGGTTCTTGTTCGTTTGGGGCTTAGGGGCCTTGCGGTTTTGGGGTTTAGGGTTTAGGGGGTTTTGGATTAAGGATTTGGGGCTTTATTGCTTAAGGGTTTAAGGTTTAATTCTTGGCATCGACAACAAGGGGCTTCTTAGTCAAGTTCAACTACTGTTGCCCTTGTCGTTACTCGTCTTGGCGGTGGTGTGGTAGCGATGTGGTGTTGGTGACTCTTTCAGTCTAGAAAGCTTGCGGTCTAAACCAGTTTTGCTTCCGGAAGAGGCCACAACCGGGCCAAAACCCTAAGATCCTAAACCCAAACCGTAGTGCCTTAACCCTAAGATCCTAAACCCAAACCCCAGGGCCCTAGGGTCCCCCAACCCCGAAACCCTAAACCCCAAAACCCTAAACCCTAAACCCTAAACCCTGAACCCTGAACCCTAAACCCCAAAACCCAAAACCCTAAACCCTAAACCCTTCGACTACACGTGAACCCAGGCCCGACTTGCTTTGCAAGCTGCTTGACCTCCTTTGGGATGACGCACATTTTCAGACGATGCCCGTCCATGTGGCGATTGCGATTACTGCAGCTGCGAAGGGTAAGGACACGTAGTCCATGGATGTGTTGACCCCCTCTGTACATGTAGCTGTGGTCGAACATACCCGAGGGCCTCTTTTGTTTTCCGTTTCGGTTGAACGATTACAGTTGGATCGCCCAATTTGCTAGCACCTTGTTCCATGCAGGACTGGCAGCAGTCGGTTTCGTTGCTGGCGCGCATGGGAAGTGCTGGACTAAAGCCAAACATCATCAGCTACAACGAAACTTGGTTTTAGCATGGTCATTCGCACTACTACGGCTATTAGCACTACGTGCTATGCATATTTTCATCGTCGTCACCACAAAATACTCACTACTATCACTACTTCTACTACTACTATTACTACTAGTACTACTACTACTACTACGACGACGACGACTACGACGACGACGACGATGATGACGACAACGGCTAATACTACTACTACGACGACGACGACGACTACTACTACAACTACTCCTACTACTACTGCTAGTACTAGTACAACTAGTACTAGTACTGCTAGTACTACTCCCACTGCTGCTGCTGCTGCTACTACTACTACTACGACGACGACTACTACTACTACTACTACTACTGCTACTACTACTACTACTACTACTACTACTACTACTACTGTTCGTACTGCTACTAGCACAAAAGACGAACTGTAGTAATAATGAAAGTAAGAAAAGTGATCGTTGGTAAGAGAAATTTCGTAAATTGACAATGGCGACAACAATTACACTACCTACGATATGATCAGTCGTGTTAAAACCAACAATAGCCACCAGTTCAGGATAGGCATACCTGTATATACACTGGTAATATATATATATACACATATGTTCATATTTGTATATATATATATATATGAAAGAATGAACACAGAACAACCAAGGATCAACAACGTACACATGACACAGAAGACGAATCATAAATGCCAAAGAACACTGTGTATAGCTAGGGTTAGCAACAATATCAACTATACCACTCATAAGAATGATGCAAGTATGTATTATGATGATACTGAGAATATCCATAGTAGCAATAAAGTTTGCGTAGTAGTACTACGAGAACAACCTTAAAATCACAACAATAACACAGAGAATTGAACACACACAGTTTCAAAGCAATAAAACATAAAGGAAATATGTAACCGCGTGATTTTTTTTGAATGAGGATATTGCTGTTGCTGCTGCAGTTGCTTTCTAGTGCAGATACAGCTACATCTGCTCATGCCTACGATGGCCACGACGACATGAACTGCTCCCCTTCGTATGTTAACATGTGCTTCAGTTGTATCTCCCCTTTTCGGGCAGCGACAGCGTCACGATGGCAGGCACAAGGTCCTTTGTTGCTTGAACTGGGGTCTGAGTTCGAAAAGACCCGAAGCCTCTGAAACAGTTGTTCTGCTCCCTGTTAACCCAGATCTTCCAATCTCCGGTCCAAAATCCATTCTTAAAGCTCTGAAACCCCAAACCTTAAACTCAAAGCCCTGAAACCCGAAACCCTAAACTTAAACCCCTGAAACCCTCCCTAGATCCGAGACTCTACACAAATAAAAGTCCGCAGCCGCCCCTGAGATTGTTAGCATTGGTCAAAAACTTCCCTGAAAGCCTTGGCCACTTCTACCAGAACATACCCTCGAGCTCTGTTATAAAGCCGTAAACTTAACTGCCCTAAATCCAAATCCGCAAAATATTAAAAGACCCTCAACTCGGAAATCTAAACTAGCCTAAACCCTACACTGTCCTAATCCCTAAACTATCCTGAATCCTAAACTCCAAACCCTCAACTATTCCAAGCTCGAAACAACATACGAGAAGGCCCTCAAGGATTACCAATACCATGGAGGTTCCTTATACGATACCCCAAAGCCCGATTCTAATTATTAAGGCCTCTAAACCCTAAATCCTATAAGGAGACGCTGAGTTCTTGTGAGAGAGCTCCCTGGCATACGACTCTGCATGTGCTCAGCGACATGCGACGCGAGCTTCTGCCGCCGGACATCATCAGCTTCAACGCCACCATCAGGACCCTAAACCCCCGAACCCTGAACCCAACAGCCTAAAGTCCTAAGCCTTCAGCCGTAGTGAGGAGTCTACAGAAGAGCACCCAATGGCAACGCATTCTAGCGCTGCTGGAAGAGATGTCGCTGGCCAAAGTCAGTCCAGACGTGATCAGCTGCACCAGCGCCATAAGTGCATGCGAGAAGGGCAGACACTGGGAGCGCGGAATCGTGCTCTTCAACGGAATGCCCGGCACAGGAATCCATCCCAATACCTTCAGCTACAACACGGCACTGAGCTCTTGCAAGCGAGGTGCACAGTGGCCATTAGCATTGCATCTGTTCAGCAACATGCATGCTGCTGCCATCCAGCGCGACATCATAACCTATAACACCACCATCAGCGCTTTTGAAACAGGCGAACAATGGCAGCTCGCTTTGCAGCTCTTTTCCGGTATGGTCAAAGATCATGTCGGCCCAAACGCAAACAGCTACTATCTGACAATCACATCCTGTGAGAACGGAAGCCACTGGCAGGTGGCTTTACAGCTATTCCATGGCATGCCCCTGGCTGCTGTTACTCCAGACGTCTTGACTTACAACTCGATCATCAGTTCTTGCAGGGGCGACAGACAGTGGCAGCTTGCTTTGATGCTATTCCGCTCCATGCCACAGGCGAAGGTTCAACCAGATGCCATCTCCCACAATGCTATTATCACCTGCGCGGAGAGATCACGAATGTGGCAGCTTGCGCTGCAGCTTTTCGATGAGATGCCTTTGGCAAAGATCCTTCCCAACATCATAAGCTACAACGCAGCGATACTAGGCCGGTTTTTGGGACATTGTGTATTTTCCTTATTTGGGCTTATAAGGGGCCCTTCACATAAACATTTTTCAGAGGGCTTAATAAACCCTAAACCCTAAACCGAGTTTAAAGGCCAACCCAGGATAGCACTTTGCAGCAGAGCTGGGCAGCAAGCTCTGGCAACGCACCTCTTTGCCGCAGTGTCTAAAGCCAGGCTCCGGCCTGACGTTGCAAAGCTGATCAGTTTAAGGTTTTTGGGGGTTCAGAGTTTAGGGTTTAAGAGTTTAGGGTTTAGGGGTTCAGAGTTTAGGGTTTAGAGTTCAGGATTTGGTTGGGGGTTCAGAGTTTAGGGTTTAGAGTTCAGGATTTGGTTGGGGGTTTAGAGTTTAGGGTTTAGAGTTCAGGATTTGGTTGGGGGTTTAGAGTTTAGGGTTTAGAGTTTAGGGTTTAGGGTTTTAGAGCTTAGGGTTTAGAGTTTGGGGTTTAGGGTTTTAGAGCTTAGGGTTTATATGTCCTGCTTGGGTCTTACAACCCAAGAGTGACCCGGAAGCTCCAAGGTCAATCCTAAGGCTTCTGGGCCCAAAGACCATACTTTAGGGGCCTCAATAATTACCTACAGGATTTGGGGGGTTTAGGGTTTAGGGTTTAGGGTTTAGGGTTGATTTGGGGGGCTCCTTTCTGTATTTATAGTTTACTTTCGGGGCCTCAATAATTATTATTTGGGGGCTCCTTACTATAATTATAGTAAAGAGGACCCCCAAACCCTATTCTAATTTTTGCGGTCCCTATGGTACTATCTACAGTAAGGTATTTTCTGATAAATGGTAAGCTGATCTCCCGATCTCCCACAAGAAAGCATGCAGCCTCAGGTTATCACTTACAACGCTGCTCTTCGGGCCTATGTAGATGGTTCTTGGGAGAGTGCATTGAGCCTGCTGCACAGCATGCCAGCGGCGCAGGTCTCTCCTGATGTCATCAGCCACAACACTGTGCCCTGTCAAAAAGTCCCCTAATCAAGGGTCCATGCACGCAAATAGTACCTATTTACATACTTAGGAACCGAAGTATATACTGTCTGGGCACAAGCTTGTGGTTTCTAGGGCTCGGTCTAGTTGTGTACCTTTCTAACGTGATGGGATCCTAATAGAACGAATTCCACGCAATGTTAGAGGGTCTAGGTTTTGGGGCAGTTGTCACTTGTGATGTTTTGTTCTTCTGTTTTTTGTTGGGGGTGGAGGGTAGATGGAGGGGCGGAGGGAGGCAGGCTCAAGAATTCAAGGTTTAGGGTTTAGGGTTTAGAGTTTAGTTTCGTGCATTCGTTGGTGTGCCAAGGCAATCAGCTGCTGCGAGAAGGCTGGATACTGAGATTCTTCTGCAACCCAAACCCTGAACCCCAAGACGCTCTAGCTTCCATAAGCGCAATGAAATCTCTACAGACCGTTTAATCCTGCTGATATAAATAAATATAATGACTGCCGTATTATGGACTACAACATAATAAAATCTTGCAAAATATATTATAATGTAAACCGAGACCCCCAACTATTCTCTAACATACCCCAAAATACCCACAATTAAGGACCATGAGTCCCATGGGGGCTCTATTCAAGAGCCCTAAAAGGGGGTCCTGGGACTCCCTAAATCTTGAGAACCCAAGCCCTAAACCCTAAACCTTAAACTCTAAACCCTAAACCTAAACCCTAAACCCTAAACCCTAAACTCTAAACCCGAAACCCTAAGCCCCAAACTCTAAACCTTAAACCCTAAACCCTAAACCCTAAAGGCTGGACAGTGGGAGCAGTCTCTGCAACTGCTGGACCAGATGCAGAGCTTTGGGTCACTTTGGGGGTCTAGGGTTTAGGGCTCTAGGGTTTAGGGTTTGGGGGTTTAGGGTCTGGGGTTTAAGAGTTTCGGGGTTTAGGGTTGAGGAGTGTAGGGGTTTAGGGTTTAGGGGGTTTAGGGGTTCGGGTCCAGAGCTCAGGGCAGCGGATGCAGGGTGGAATAATGTGCACTGGGGCTTCCTTCAAGGCTTCCAGCACGTGTTTCATAGGGGTTTAGGGTCTTGGGCTTCGGATTTGGGTTCGGGGAATTTTCTTTTCTTTTAGAGTGGTTAGGGTTTAGGGTGTTCGGGTGTTCGGGTTGGGGGTCTTAGAGTTTGGAGTTTCGGGTCTACGGCTCAGGGGTTGGGGATTTCGGAGGGCTTGGGGTTCAGGGGGCGCCGAAGCAAACAGAGCGACACAAGGAAAGCTGGGGTATGCCGCGATGTGATCAGCTACAATGCATCTTGGCTGCAACTGGGTGACCACGTTTTCAGGGCTCAGTGTGGTAAGGCCCCTGGGGGCCTGCAGTGACAAACCCTTCTACCCTACGGCACAGAATACCTAAACCCCCTACACCCTGGCAACGTTTAGTTACAGCAGGAAACAGGAGAACACAGCATTAACAACACCACGGCCGAAACACCGAAGCCCAAAAAAAAACACAGTTTGGCACATGGCCAGCTGGCTGCACCGTGCGACTTTCGAACCTGGCCTCTGGAAACCTTTTAGAACCCTAAAAACCTCAACCCAAAGCCTTAAACCCCTAAACCCGAAACCCCTAGACCCTAAACCCCTAAACCCTAGACCCTAAACCCCTAAGCCCAAAACCCCTCTCAGCAAAAAAGAGCCTAAACGGTCGAAAAGCCCAGGTTTGGGGGGGCTCAGAGTTTAGGGCTCGGCTTCGAGTTTTTGGGTGCAAGGTGTACCCCACCCAAAGGGTCTATATGTATGTATATATATATACACATACTGATTATATGTGTATATATATATATGGATATATATATATATACATACTGATACTACTACTACTACTACTACTACTACTACTACTACTAGTGTGGAATCGGGCAACACCATAGTAAGGATAGTCTGTTGGGGCCGAATTCCGTCATGGTCGCACTTATGAACCCTCGTTCAGGGTTTAGGGTTTATAAAGGGTTTAGGTTCAGATTTGGGGGTTTTTGAGTTTAGTGTTCAGGGAATTTAGGGTTCGTGGGTGGTTTACGTCGCTCTCCAACAAATCAGCAGGCCGCCCTCAGCTCCTGTGAGAAGGGGGACCACTGGGAAGCAGCTTTGCTGCTTTTCGCCACGATGGCGGAGGTGGGACTCTTTGGTCGTAGGCTTGTAAATTGTCAAAACCCGGAGGCTCTCCAAATAATATAAGGGCCCAAATCATTACCTATGCTAGTTTGGGGGGGGGGGGGTGTCCTTAATGATAGTTTTTATATTATACTCCAAAACTTTGTTCTAGTTATTAAGGCCCCCCTCCTACATTAGCCCAATAGCCTTTTTCAGTATGGTCTTTGGGGCCCAAAAGCATCAACATATGAGTCCTTCGAGTCTAAGGGAGCTAAACCCTAAGCCCTAAACCTTAAACCCTAAACCCTAAGCCCTAAACCTTAAACCTTAAAGCCCTAAACC